TGTTTTCGCTTACCCGCCCTGCTGTATGCAGCAATTAAGGCGACCTGGCTGATGGCACCACGCGACGGCCGATGTGGCATGAGAGTATTGTTAGTTGTGTAGGTCATGGTTGTACAAGGACTGGGATACTGCCAGAGCGCCCACACCTAGACAGGAGGACGATTAAGGTCCTTAACCAATGCGTTTGACTCAAAAACCTAACTGCAAGGCAGCGGTGTTTGGCGGGGAAATGCAAATGCATTACTTTTTCTACGGAACAAGTCGCCCTACATGTTCCAACCCCCAACCTGGAGGGCCAAGAGACTGTTCGTCAGAGCTCCATTGACCAACCTGGTATGAGAGAGAGTGAGTGTCGCGCGGACACCCCCCAGTATAGCTCAATGGGTCTCCGAGGTACACAAACCGCCAGTCTAGTCTCTTCGTGACATTCGTCTACGCCAATGGGTCTCCGAGGTACACAAACCGCCAGTCTAGTCTCTTCGTGACAGGAATTCGTCTACGCTTCCGATAGGAATATCCAGAACGTGCGCACTACATCTGAACAACTCTTGCATGTTCATAAAACGGTGAGGTTACCCAGAGTAATAAGTAATAAATAATCGTCCAGCTGTAGCACCCTCCCGGTGCCTAGCTGCCATACCGCACAAAGGAGGCACGAGGGCTGGGATACTGCCCCTGGTGTGCAGATCGGAATTCCGCCCAGGATAGGCGTGTTATTGGGTCCACTAGTCTAGTTAGTATCCTGACCTGCCCATTTTTTTCGCGTCACTGATGGGCACTGGTGGCCCACTACCTTTTACACTATGATAAACCGAAAAAGATCTATCAGGAAAGACAAGGATTTGAGAGAAGCACTAACAAACTGGTGTTTTTTTGGTGGGGGCACTGCGATGTAATGATGTGTCAGGTCAGCTTCTGTTGTAAGCGAATTTCAGTCGAATTTCTTTTCCCTTTTACTTAGAATTTATGCACGAATTCCGGGAGACACGATACCTTGAAGTGGAAAATAAGAATGCGATATGTGTCATAGGCTAACACCACATTGCCTTCCTACGATGAACACCATGATTTCCTCCTGATTGGAATATCCCGTTTTGAGAAGAGTGAATAAAACAGTCTCCTGCGCTCCCTTACCTTGACGATTAAGGATTTGGAACATGGGTGTCAGTTTGGCTGGCGAGCAATGGAATCTCGGAGTTAGTGACCAAGGTATCTAATAACCTGATCATATGTAACTGGTGTTCGATGAATCGTCGTGGTGAGAAAAATCGATCAGCTGTAGCACCCATTCAGTGCCCAACTACCATGTCACCAGAGAGAAGCACGAGGACTGGAATACTGCCAGGTTGCCCAGGCCTAGTCGGGGTAAATTGAGAGGCAGATTTCGGGCTCGGACCACGGACTTTCCGGCCAGTGAATCCGTGCTTATAGTGCACTTAAGGAATAATCGTTATTTCCCCGGTTTCTTTACGAACGAATAATTTCTTCCCTGTTGAACCAGATTTAAACAGAAGGATAGGGTAATTTTGCATGTGTTATTGTTTGTCCAAAACTCGGCAAACACCTGTATGGTGTGTTGCATCGTCTTGTTTTCGAATCCGCATTCAGTTCGCATTGCATCCCACTGACTTGTTCCGACAAATGACACATACATAGACTAGGTCAGACTTTCTGCCAACCAAGCCGATTCGGGAAAACATAGGTGGTGTGAAATTGTGTTGCAGGGTAGCCAAGGAAGGTTTTTTTCCACAGCTGTAGGTGACAGTGTGCGTTGTCGGGGTGTACTAAGTCAATCCTTGGGATTCATGTGTCGCGCAGCTCTGGGTGGTTTCGCGGTAAGAGTGGTGCAACCCAAGTAAACTATAATTCCTTTTATCGATAGGGTTCCTGGAGTACATGCATGGCTTCGGTGTGAAATACACTCAGAATTGCGGAAAGCTCCGAGCGTTCTGTAGACCTCGTAGGTTGTCTCCCGCGTTTCCCGTTCAAAGATCACGCTGGTGCAATGTATGATTGCATTCCCCTGGGCACTACGCTTGGAAGGACTAGTTCAATTGAATTTATACATGTGAAATTGAGGATACCTACCTGCTGCTGCTTCAGATTAGAGTGATTTGGGGGTGGTATTTGGCCAGTATTTCATTAGCCCGTCGTTATTCCTCTCGAATTCTCAACGAGATGTACCTATTGCTTGCAGGTGTTTGCTGTAAGCAACATCGCCGCCCAGAACTTTCGTGGACCTTGTGGCGTTTGTGAGTCCTCTGTCATATGGCTACACCGCTGATTTATGTGTAACGCTTGTTCTCCGTTCTCGGTAGCTTTGTCCTTCGGACAGTAGATAGTGTGCACCCTTTTTCGATATACTGAGTAACTCGATTCCGCAGATGTTGCCAGGGCTCAGTTCCTGGAATTTGTTTCGCACGACGTGTGTGACGGTTCATCCTCAAACTCACCCAAAATGCTGTCAGTATTTCTGGATTATTTTCAAGAATGTGATTTGGATCGCGTGGCTGTCTTGTCGCATCCAGTTACCGACTTGGCTGAGAGCCTCACGATACCTCCCTATTGTCTCATCCGGACGACCATTAACTAAGGGGTCGAAGGAGGTTGCTGTCCATTGAAGGCAACTACAGAGTTTCGGTTGATCATGTGTGACCCAGAAACCAGTTTCTCTGGTTACTATGGTCCAGCGGTGCCTTCCTACAATTCATCGCAGCCCTCGCTATGTGACGCGCCCCTGTTCCCGCACAATCTGGAAGTCTTGCGTTGTAAGTTCCATGGTTGTTGGATCGTATCGTAGCTCGTTTTCGGGTGAGTTTCGTCACTTCCAGTGATTGCGAGCCTCTTGCGCTGTAAGTCAGGTGCAGCGCGAACATAGTTTTATTTTTCTCTGGGTTAGCCGTTCGGTGCTACCGGCACAAGCACTCGCTGCTTGCTCACTTACCGTTTATCTCTTCGTTGTTTTGAAGGTGTTCATGAATATATTTGCTCGGTTGAATGGCACAGCATGTAAGTTAAGGGTCTTGAGGGTTTTGCCACTCCTTTAGCCTCCATTCGTGATGCTTCACGTACGTGTTATTTTTTTCAATCTGCTTTACGACTAACATTTGTAGGAGGAGAAGCGCCGATCTCATTTGAAGACCCACGCGTTTGTAAGAGTTTTCTGTTGGATTCTTGTCCTCATGAAATTCTTTCCGGGACTGTAAGTTGCTCTCCTTCTCTTAATAGTTTTTAGCGCATGGATTTAGGTGCATGTTCCTTGATTCACGACCCTGCACTGAAAGCAGACTACAGAAGGGAATCAGAGCGGAAGAGTTTTGGATACGAATTGGATGTAAGTTCACAAATTTTTATACATCTCGCGTGGTACCAGGCTTTAGAACACTTACAGCTGTTTATCAGAGAAAGTGACCACCGAACTAAATTAGCAAAGGCGAAGTTGCGGGAAACGCAAGAGGAACTAACAGATGAAGCCCAACAAAAAGCGGAACAAATCAACGCTTTGAGCGAGCAAATCGGTACGAAACTCGCGAAGGCGGAACAGCTTGGTGCTGATGGCCATGTCGATGAATCGTTAGCCTTGATGAAAGAAGTTGAAGACCTAAACAAAGAGAAGGCAAAAAGCGAAGCCGAACTTCGTACAGCTATCCCGACAAGCACCTATCAGCAGCAAAAACTCCGCGTCTGTGAAGTCTGTTCTGCTTACTTGGGCGTTCATGACAATGATAGGCGACTGGCAGATCACTTTGGCGGGAAGTTACACCTTGGATTCATCGAAATTCGCGAGAAACTGGAGGAACTGAGGAACTATTGTCAACAGAACCAGATTGTTCGGAGAAGGCGGTTTGAAGGCTACAGTCGCTCAACATTCAGTCGTGAGGCTGAGCAACAGCGGGAGAGCAGTCGGCGTCGAGATCGCAGCAGTGAGCGACGCCACCGTTCACGTAGTCGATCTCGAAGCCGCTCTCGCAGTAAACATCGTAGCGGCAAACATCGATCCAGTGGTCGACACTCCAGACGTCACCGTTCCAGAGACAGGAGCTAGAATAAACGTTGAATTGCCCAGTTCACTGGCAAATTGTACCATATGGCATGCTCTTAACCTACTGATAATTTCCGGTTTTTAATGCGGCTGTACACATGATGTTCATTTCCCTTCTTTGTGTTCTGATCAGATGAGGAATGTGGGCAACTAGAGGCAATGGCCGCGGAACATAAAGCCAGGTCAGGTTGCCTAACATCGATATTCTCCTCTGATAACTTATTTGAAGTGCGTCAATGAGGCAGCCACCTTCGAGTCATTGAGGAACTGGTATTTTACTGGGTGTGGTTATTTCAATTAAATTGCAAGTGTGCCAGCAGTGTTAAGCATTGGACTTTCACGAGGTTTCTCACAATTGCTCAATAGCATTCTCATGGCTTCATAATATTGAAAAACGGTTTGATATGTTTGGTCGGGTGGTTCCGCGCTTGAGGTGCACGTATTTTTGGGTAATATCTGTCAGCTAAAAACGAATCTGCAGATAACATATTCCAACTGAATCTGACTTGTTCTTAGTTGACCTCAGAAAGGCCTTGGTGAGTGTATGCCAGCTTCTATGCTGCATCCAAAAGATCCAGAAACTAGCAATACAAATCCGAGTTACCACTTTGAAGGTTAAGTACAGGGTTTCAGTCTACGTAAATTTTCATCAGGCCGAACTGTGATGCGAGGAAATGTCGGTTCATCTGGTGAACTGTCATCTACTTGCTCTTCACTGTAATGCAGCTTAGCGGCAAAAATAGTCATGCTTCTTAGCATACAAATATCCATCCTAAGTAATTTACGGGCATGGTGTCGGGCACCATAGTGTTAGAGAGTGGAGTCAGTCAGCCAACGGAACGACTCTGGAATCAAATGCGTTAATCAATCCTTTAATTTCTTGTACTGAAACCGAAGTTCAGCGCTTGGATGCCCGAAAAATCCCACAGGAACTATTTTGACGGGTTTCCACGATAATTCTACCTGTTATGCACTGGATAAGATGAAAGACTGTCATTACACGTTCTTCCGAATGGCTGCGTTGCAGCCAGCTACTCATACGAGTCCACCCACCTTTGAGCCTGGAGTTAGACACGGTATTCAATAACCGTCAATGTTTGTCATCCATTGCACCCATCCACAATCCCCATAACACATATCCAGGTTGGGCAAGTCTGCACGTCAACGCATGAGGATTGCTAGAGTGGCACCACGACTCAGGGATGTGACAATAAAGCAGTCAAAAGCTATCTTCCTATGCATTGGATAGATGTACATTCCAAACCACCTTCGGGCTGGAACATTAGACAGACCGTTTTCGATTCCACGGTGCGATTTGATGGTAGTACTTTCAGCTGCGTTTGCTGCCCTCGCCACCCGTGGCATGCGATCGAATTCGCGTACTGTGTACATTTTTGGGAATCCGGATGTCACCGTTGTTTCGACACTACTACCAGTGCGTGCAGCGCGGTGGGTGTTTTCACGAAACTGGTGAACGACAACGTGCTCATGGTACCAGGGCCCGTCTAGATCGCGTAACAACACTGTGCTTGGGAGTCTTAAAGAGCGCTATCGAAGGGTGCTTGGAAAAACATGAACTTAACCCTGGTTGCAAACGGGACTTCATTACAGTTATTAGTTACGTGATTCCAGGGAAATTCATTGAAGATTGCGACAATACAGGATGCGGCCGAACACACTTAATGTTCGACCACAAATGAGTCATTTTGCACTGTTGTGGACGCGTTTCGACTCGTGTGGTGACAAACCTGACTTGTCAACTTCCTGTAAAAATTATATAATTTGGAGAATGGGTTTATTGACGACCGCGAGTCACTGTGTTGAGCTGCCGAACCATCGCATGTTATGATGCGAAGTAAAAGTATGCCTCTTCGTTTTAAGTATGTGAACCACTCCCAGTTAAACTCACGGAGTGGTCAGTTGGCCATGGCTCTCGGCACCTCCACAGTCATACCGGACAACCATTCCATTTTGAATTTCGACATTGTTCACCAGAATTCGGTGCAGCTTAGAACGCGATGGTTATGGAACCTCCTGTACATCACTTAGTACTCAATTGCCAACATCCCCTTACGCAAGTTTACTGAGGTCACCTTTGAGAAATTGTGCTTGAGCCACTACGTACAAAGCCTTGCTACGATTTATGTTCTAATGAAGTATGTTTGTCTTGTTTTTTGTATCTCCCGTACCGCTGAATTTCTTTCAGGCTAGCCGAATGAGTATATCACCTGAAGCGTACGCCGGTTCGGTTTGCTTTGGGATAACGAATTTATCACTTTCGCAGCTCCGAGGCCATAATGATATGAGGCCGAAAATCAAGATTGCTAAAAGTATTTGTGTGCTCTGAGTGAATTGCTTTCAGTCCATTAAGCCATAAGTCCATGAATTTCAGCTTAATCCAGCTGCACCGTCACGTTGCTGCAGGTCGTAACACTAACTTTACCCTTCCGCCTTCTTAATTCACGTTTACACAGCTGCATGGTTCATCTAGATTAACCCGAAGCAGCTAACTACGAACTGCATCGTTTTCACAAAAGGGCCTGGTATCTGGCCTGACATCTGTCGAATGCTGCGCTCAATTGAGTTTTTAGTGTATTTCTCATATGCGCAAATGACTTCACGCCACACAAAAGTGCTCCCCGGCTTTTGTGGGATCACATCGCCCGTTATCAAGGGTAAGAGAGTTAGTACTGTGAAGAAATTGGTAGGTCATCATAATCACGATTCCAGTTCTCCCATTTGGATCAGCAGGTGGTTCATGAGGGCAGAATAAAAACAACAGTCCAACCAACTCTCCCCTCACCAGGACGGCTTTTGTGATTGAAGCATAGGGTCAGCTGACAACTCTCAGTCCCACTCAGCAGCCGGCAGTTTATTCTTGAGGCCCGATTATGTCCCACAAAGGGCTTGGTAGCTATTAGATTTTGGCAATGGGGTGTCATCTCTGATCGTTACTTAAATACAAAGCCCGTAGCACTAGTTTTTCCCGAGATGAATTCGAATTGGCTGTTTAGCTTCGAAGCTAATTATGTGGCCGGATCGACAGTGTACTGAGCTGAGGGTCATCTGACTACATAGTCGATGTGACTACTTAAGCTAGAAGCTACCTGGAAGAATCATGCGTGCGTCACAGGGAGCGCAACATGCGGCGTTGCACCCAAGGCAGATTCACACGTTTTCGACCTGAGTCTATCCACGAGAAGTTAAATGGTGTAGCAGGGGTTTCCCGTACAACTTTAGATATGTCCATCTTTTGGCTAAGTGTTTAGGGAAAGACAACCTCCCTACGAACTTTTTACCTGAAAACTGATCTCCTTCCATTGATGAAGTTCCAGAGTGATGAATTAGGAAACCGATGAATTAAATGGAATTACGAACGCTTACCGATCACACGCTTATTACAAAGTGGGTCGGGAACCACCGTATTAGATTAACTCAGTCGTCTAACTTGCGAGACAGCAAATGGTGACAGTCTATCCGTGGCCGTTTTGGCTTTCTCTGGGCTCGTCAAGCAACTGCGTTGGTTTTGCTCAAGCGATATGAGTAAAAAAACAGCAGCCTGGAAATGTTTGATGGGCGAATTAATCTTCGTTGTAAAATTATGTCCATCTCCGACGCATCGGAATACAAGGTTTCATGAGGCGCTGGATCTTGCAACGCCTTCATTGAACCTAGGCTGAGCATTGTGAAGTGGTAGGCCGAAATGGGCTATTTCGTACGCCAATATCGGGGTTAGAGCAAGGTAGCAGACAGATTTTGTGATTATTACGCGCAGTGAAATCGTAGTATAGTAAACCGTCAGTCGCACTGGAGAATCCACATGACCTTCAAAAAGCACAGTAATAAACACTACCTATAGGGCTGAAGCCTTCACATCGGTTTTCAGGTGAGCACACATAGGAGTTAAGATCGCCTCAGTTAACAAATGTCATCAAGTCCACCCTCGAGTTGTGTAGGGTGTTATGAATCAAATGTCCCAATGAAAGTGCTGTAAATTTCGCTTGACCTCATTATTTCTGGTCCGCGTTCGAAATTTGATCCCATAGGTACCGAATTTCAGTTTGCTCACTTATATAAGCAGCTTTCTGAGTTAGCATCGATATCTGGTGTTTTTAGCTGGCTTGAGGCTGAAATCGTTGGTCTGGTAAATCATGTTTGTGCCGTAGATTTAGACAAATAAAACACCATATCAGAGCATTTCTGGAGAACTTCGGCAGAAATTGAAAGCAACAAAAATGCAATTTCGAGAGCAGAGAGATAGTGTGGAGCGGTCGCAGTAAATAACAAGGATTGCTCTTGTGACCTCGATCCTGTTTGTTTCCGAAAGCAATGGGTGTGTTCAAACACCAAGAGTTGCGCGTACATTACGTCAGTTGCATAGAAGTGGTCCGGTGTTGAGGCCTAGGAGTGTTCAACTCATCCTGTGCGCGAAGGTAGGGCTTTCTCGAAGTTCACTGGGGTGGCGTCTCGTTGCTACCCGTGCGCCTTGTAACTAAAGTAACATTAAACTAGGCCTTGTAGCCAGCCAGTAGGAAACCGAAAAAAATTGGCCATACAGTACAAGTGATTTGTTTAAGATGAAATTTGCAATCCGAAAGTCTTGCGGGCATGCTGTCAGGATATTCACCACTGCATCAACCCAGCTCTTTTTAGCCCAGTAGAACTAAATTAACATCTCGCTTATTATGGTAAGATGGTCCAAATGGTTAGAGCGCGAATTAACTGACCGGAAAATTCGTAGTTCGAATCCGACCTCTGCCTTTCGACCTCCACTGTCTAGGCTTGGGCAACCCTGGCAGTATCCCAGCCCTCGCGCAACCTTCTGGTGGCATGGCAGCTAGACACCGAAAGGGTGCTACAGCTGAACGGTTTAGCCCAGTAGAGCCAAAAACAAACATCTCGCTTATTATGGCTGGATGCGGCTTCAGGAAGGACCAGATTTCAGTTTAGACTTCACATGCAAAGGGTTGGAGTTCGTCCAAGCGGTCATCCATCAGAAGTTGTCTATCAGAGGAAATTGGCCGTTCAGACTTAACTGGGCCCTGTTAAGTTCTCCTCATTGAATGCGCCCAATCAAACCTCCGTGACTGCTATTCTCACTTTCTGGTTGCATAAGTTCGACAGAAAGTATAACGCTGAGTTTGTCTGCTATCACTGCAATGCACAATAAGTGCATGATTAAAACAGTTGTTTCGGTAAGTAACTGGTTTTCGATTTTTCATTTTCAAGTTCACATTTATGTATAGTCGAAGTGGACGAATATGTAAGTTAGTTGGCAGGATATAAAAAGCCAGGCTGTGAGTAACCGGGGCGCTAGGTGTCGAAGAGTAAAACATTGTGTTCGCGAATCATTATTATTGTTCAGATTTGTATTATCATAAAAAACCGACATCTAGGAAGGGACAGTTAGTGGTCTGAGGTATAATCACATCGATTCGTAGTGCGAACTATTATTGAATGACAAAAGGCAATGGAAGTTCTTGGAATACAATTACCACCGTAGTTTTCTTCTCGGAAACTCCTCTGGTTTAATCACTCATCTAGATGTGCACATGAGCACACTCACATTTCCAGGGCAGTCATTTCGTCATCTCGATCAATCTCCTGTTGAAACCTTGGTGTGCTGAATTCTTTATGTCCAGAATGAATACTGGATTAATCCTCATATTCCAGATAAATTTTAAAACATGACGGTTACCCGTTGGGCTTCCAACACATCGATTGCGAATAATGACTCTGATTACCGAACCCATCTCCAGAAAATGGTAACCAAACATGCCCTCGATTTTTTTTCAATTGGTCCGGTGACCGTCACTAGTCTTGAAACAACAGAGGGTTGTGCACGGGTCTAAAAAAAGATGTTTAAGTCTTGACAGAAAACATCACTTGCACTGATGTATATGGTGCCGAAAATAGCAGAGTTCTAAAAGAAAATGGGAACTAGTTGAGTTTGACGCAAGATACATCCTGTGGAACAGGCGTTACCAACAATGGGCTGGCATCTTTTGTCAGATTCGTATGTCACACTGAACAGTGCCCGCGGAGCCGCGTGCATGCTGTGTTGTACCGAATCAACTTGTGCCGAGATCCGCGGGTGTAACTCGTAGGGTATAAGAGCAAAGGGAGAACGGAATGGGACAATTTGAAAAATCGTTCGGCTGTAACATCCTTTTTTTGCTTACCTGCAACCCCATCCGAAGTAGGTACGAGGCCTGGGGTACTGCTCGGTTGCCCAAGCCTAAACAGGTGCAGTCGAGATGCAGAAATTGGGCTCTATTAAGGGAGCTTACGGTTAGTAAGTCCGCGTCTTAACCACTGAGCCATCTTGCGTCCAAATCCACCAGCAACCAAAAACCGGTTGGGAAGATAAGCTATTTCTACTATGTGCGAAAGGTTGACAGGCACCCTGAACCACTCGTGAATCACACTCGGGACCGACTGCATGGATCATCGGATAACTTATGATTAACATTGAAGAACTTTTAGGGAAGTAAGTATGTCATCAACGATAGAAATTCCCGTTCCGAAGAAATGTTTCTCTAGTTTTTCTCTGATTATCCTCTGCACAAGTTGTCCGTAAGGGGAGACCGTTTCTGGAACTTTCGGGTGCATACTCTTGTGCCAATTTTTCTTTTCATGTGTAAGCACCGATTTTCCTCAGGTTCGGGGAAAGCCCCACTGGCCCTGGCTGCACCGTATCTTGGTTCACAACTAACAGCGAAGTCAACTGGTATGGTGCTCCTGAGACAGCCGAGGCCTGTGAAGTAACTGACAAAGTGTGCTTCAGCTTTGTTGTGTACATAGGTTTTGGAGAGTCAACTAATGGAGAGTGGCGCGTAATAAATGCCCTCTTGCGTTGATGAGTGGATCAGACTGTCCATTCAGTCTCGGATTGTCAGCCGGGTGTCACTGTTCGACGTGCTTGTTTGAAAGCAGTGTACTCTCACAGTGGAAACTTGTAGCCGTGCGACCAAACATTATTTTGTTAGTAGACATCACACCTGGATTTGAGGTGCGGATTTTCACGGAAGCCGCTTTCACAGTAGCTGGAAGAAACAGACTCGACGATGAAGTATCGTTCCACGTTTGTGACGATTTCAAAACCTGTTGAACCCGTTCCTCGCACAGATACCTATCGCTGCTCTCATTCGACCACGAGGCTAATGCATCAGTTTTCGGACTTTAGTGACCACCCGAAGAAGACGGACAGCTTCCAGTTTAGTCAGGAGAGACAAGAATTAGTAGTATCAATCCTTGGGAGAGAGTAGTATTCTACTCTGATGTACCGTGCCTGAGACCTCACACTGTTTTTGGGTTTGTATTGCGACTGATACTACTAACTTGCCAGATCGCATTTGGATAACTCGGTTATAGTTCGCTCTGTCAAATCTTGAGGTTTTCTCTATTCTTTTTTTCTTGGACAGGTTGTTGCTCGCCTATCAAACATTGTTGATAACTATCTTAATTGGGGATCACGCCTGGAGTGACAGTTATCCCTTTGCGTGGCGGAATAACCGCAAGTCCACGGTACATAACATTTCCGATAACGCATACATTAGGCCGAGATCAGAGTCGGATGGCTGCAGAAGATCATGTATCGCCAAATGTCTGGGACATGACAGATTTGCAACCTGATGGCTAGCATCACCCGCATAAAAGTTAAAAGAAGATGACAAGATTTCTATTTCCGTAAAATACGAACCAAGGGACAAAAACAGCCCAGATTCAAATCAGTTATGTGGATGAGTTAAGTGGACCACTCTAATGTGCATGTATGAAGCACGTTTCGTGTTTAATTAGTGATACGATGAAGCCATGTTTTCCCTGCATACTGGAATGAATGATAGAAATATAAAACTCCTATGGGATAGTGGTTGCCCTGTTTGCCGAGCTTGACGAACTGTATTTTGTCTCATTTGTGATACAATTTTTTTGAATATTCAAGTGAAATATGAGGTGGATGAATGCTCGGGGACTACACCTTGTTGATTAGCTTCAGGGAGTGTGAGCCTGTTGGTGAACTATCAGTAACCTCACAGCAACATTGTGAGTAGTGTTACATCAAAGAACAGGAGTTTATCTAACGTATGCCAAATCGTTTTTTGCTACAGCCGCATCTTTGCAGTAATCAGTCTCACCTCTTTCTTGAGATTTTTTCAACCTATTGCCATGTAATCATTCCGTTGTACCATTCCTAGTCTACCGGAGCTCTACGAGAAGTTGCTACAACTACCTGGTGAAAAGCTTACACCTCTTAAGGTGAGGTACTTCGAATAAAACTAAGAGTTTCGCCGACAATATACTGATAAACTGATTTTGTGCTCTAACCTAGCGTCACATTACACTCACACCTAATCTAGCTTCCCACGGGTGCGAAATTCTGCTTAATCCACGGCACCACTTTTATCGCTTGGTTGCATTTGTGAAATCAATAAAACAAACCAACGGAACAAGTATGCCACCCTGGTCAATAAAACACAGTAGCTATGAGAAGTTTTCGTGTCTGCGGATCAATGCTAGCACATCGGACGAGGCAGAATGTGTATGTGTGTTTGTGTGTATACGCTCAATCTCGATAAATCACTTTCGTCGTAGGCGTTGAAAGCCAGCAAACACCACGTGTATTTGAGTACCTCTGACAAAGCCCTGAAACTAGGTCAACAGTGACAGGAAGCAGAGAAAGTAAGCGAATAGACGTTTAGGTTAATGCGCAAGATGTCTTTCGCATGAACTTCTCAACTGCAGCACGTCAGTCCTCATTATACTGTTGTATTAAACACAAGACCAACAGTGACAGTTAAACCACTAATGAGCTCACGTACCGTGAATAAACTATCGGGTTACAAGGCGTGCTACACAAGTTTGTCTCTTTTTAACCATAACTAAAATGGTTTCTTTTACGGCAGGCAAAGACCCTGTAAACTGCGGAATGTGCAGTAACAATTGAAATGACGAATTCAGTATTTTTCATTAGTTCGGTCCCGCTGTTCCAATAGAGGGTAGGTCTTCTGAGCTCCTTGGAATCACATTCGAGTGGTCGATTCGGAGTCGATGCTCGCCGCACAGACAACGGAGCTAGACTCTTTCAGTTGTGTGCTGATCACGAACTGTTTCTGGCAAGTACGAACTTTAAACATAAACGTTCGCACTGCGTAACCTGGCGGCCGCAAACTACAAATCAACCGTGGACCCAGTTGGACCACGTGGCCACCAGCCACCGGTGGAGAGCCACAATCCAAGACTGCCGTTCTTTCTGGGGCACACCACTTGACTCCGATCACGCCGTGGTGCGCGCACGCTTGACAGTTCGTTTCCCTTCAGGCCATTGCAAGTCGGCAAGAAGCATACCAATCCACTATCTTCGAAGAACTGCCGTAGCTCAACAGTATCGATCTAAGATAGCCCAACAACTTTCCACAGTAAAACAATACTGTGGTGGTAGTGAGCATGTGGATGAAGCCTGGCAAAATGTGAAAGGAGAAATGCTAGCGGCGTTCAGTCCTGTCTGCCCGACTTCTCCAATTCGACCACTGGATGTCGTCGAGGTCGTTGTCCATGATTGATGCCAGGAAAGCCATACCAGCAGGCAACGAGTACGACGGTGCACGCAAATCCCTCAAACGCCAAATAGTGAAGAGTCCAAGGAAAGACCGAGAGCTCTGGTGGATATCGAAAGCTTGGGAGGTGGAGAAGGCTTTTGCTACAGGAAACAGCCGTGCCCTTTATCAACTGATACGATCGACTGACCCAAGGAAAGCAACGGTCAGCGAAACGATAAGTGAAAAAGATGGCTCATTAATTCACCCGCAAGAACGTCGACTGGAGAGATGGGCCGAACACTTCGAAGAGCAGTTCAGCTGGCCTCATGCAACACAACCAGTGGAGGTAATGCATACGGGCGAATGGAATGTAAACCTTGATCGCCCTTC